CAGTTCCTCCTCCTCCTCCTCCTCCTCCTCCTCCTCCTCCTCCTCCTCCTCCTCTTCCTCCGACTCCGCCTCCGCTTCCGCATCCTCCTTCTTCTCCTCCTCCTCCTCCTCCTCCTCCTCCTCCTCCTCTGAGGGCCCACGGACCCGTGGCGCCTTGCGCGGCGGCGCCGGGAGGGACGTGCCGCTCTGCTCTGCCCTCGGGCGCTCCCGCGGTGCCCATGGCCCGAGGTGGCCACGGCCTCTGCAGGGAGGCCGCGATGGGGGCCTCCAGGGCACCCCTCGCGGTGCCCTTCAGTCGGGCATGTCCTCCTACAGGAGGAATAGTTTGACAAATAGTTACACAAGTGTGTGGGCGATTTTGGGACAGTTTGTCGATTCCCAGTTTCTCTTCCGAAGCTGCTTCTTATCGTCCGTCCAGAATCCGCATGTAGGGGGACACGCCCGACCAAACCCTTGGGGCCCACTGGCCTCAGGTGGCCTCTGGAGCACCAACCGCGGTGCCCAGGGCCTGCTGGTGGGCGGCGGGCGTCGTCGGCGTTGATCTCCTGTCCTTGTTCTCTCCAGGCTCTCTCTTGGCGGCGATCGTTTCCCCCCCGTGTCTTTCTTGACTGGCCACCCTGCCTGAATGGGGGGGGCCCACAGCGCCACCATTCAATCTAGCCCACCGGCCGGGCCATCCCAGGGCACCCCGCGCGCCCCACGCCCTGCCGGCGGAGCGAAAAAGGTCCAGCGGAGGACACGGTGCCCTGCATAAGAGGCGCACGGAAGGAGAAATGGGCCCGCCACCGGGTGCCGCTCGACATCCTCTCTTATCTCCCGCCCGATGGGCCCGCACAGCCCTGGGGCACCAGCCTGCGAAGCCGCGAGTCGCTGCGAGGGGTGTGCTCCTCGACTCCCCGTGGCAAGGCCTGTTCTCGCTCGAGCCCGCCGCGAGCGGCCCCTCCGCGCTCGGGGGGCCGGGAGGAAGGCAGGGCGGGGCAGGCCGGCCTGCCGCGTCGCAGGGCCTGGCCCTGGGGGCCGGGCCTTCTGATCGGCAGCGTGGCAATCGCCGAGAGCAGACGCAGCCCTCTCGGGCAGACCCGGGGGGGCCGCGGGTCTGCCTCCCGTGGTGCAGCGCACGCCACGCCCCGGCAGCGCACGCGGCCCGCGCGTGGCGGAGGAGGTCCTCGGGCCTGCCGCCCCGCTGCAGCACGTGCCGCGCTGCAGCAGCCGGCGGGTTGCACAGATCTCGGCATCGCTCGGACGCGTGCACTGCTTCTCGGCGGGTGTCGTCGAGGAGCCTCCTGGATCGTCGGGCCAAGAATGAGCGCACGGGGCCGAAGCGTGCACGATGAATGGACCTCCGAGCGATGGCAGGAATGGCAGAGGAGTTCTTCGGGTCTGCCCCCCTGCTGCAGCACGTGCCACACTCCAACAGCCCACGGGCTGCACACATGGCAGTAGCGAGCGAGAGCAAGCACTGCTGTAGACCCTGTAGGACCAGGATTCCACTCGACTGGGCTCATCCTCACCCTGCTCTTCATCCTGCCCCTGCAGTCGGACCGTGCTGTAAGATCAAGATCGGTTCGGGGAGGGCTCTAATGTTCTTCGTGTCTGCCGGGCGTTCTTATGCATCATGGGGGGGTACCCTTTGATGTTCTGTTTGGTTTGGCCTGCGGAGAGTTTCATGTCATTGAGGAATGTTATTTTGGCCTATGTCCGACTATGCTTGTTCTGCCATCTGGGTGGAGCGCAGCCCCTTCAGCACGACCGTCCTCCTTCCATCTTCCTCTGAGCTCTCCTGATACATCTCATCGTCGCCCCCAGCTCTTTCTCAATTAACCATGCTGCGAGCAAGCTCCTCTTATGGTCCTCCTTCTCCTCCTTCCTTTTTCTGTTCTTTTGTCTGGTTCTTCTTCTCTGCATTATGGTTCTCCTCGACCTCCTCCATCTACCCCTCGTAGTCGTCATCCTCATCTTCCCCGTGCCCTCCACTGGAAACCCCGGGAAGCTTCCCATAGAAGGAGGAGAAGGCGACGATGTGAGGGGGAGGGAGGGAGTGAGCGAGGGGGGGAGCATGATAACGAGGAGGAGGAGGAAGGGGGAAGAGGAGGGGACGCGAGGAGGAGGACGACGATCAGGTGGGAGGTAGCAGGAAAAGGGGAGAGGAGGAAAGAGGCGAGGCAGGTGTGGGCAGATGAGGAGATGGAGGAGATGGAGGAGCGAGCGGACGAAGAGATGGACGATGAGGTGGAGGAGGTGGAGGGAGAGGAGAGAGCGGCGAGGAGGGCCAGACGGAAGAGGAAGAGGAAGCTGGGGACGGCACGGCTCTTGCGCCCCGAGCACGCAGCATCCGCGTGTGCGTTCGGCCCGAAGCGTTCCCCTCGATCTTCCGGGGCCGATCCGCTTCTGGATTTCCAGGAGGTGGACGGAGGCCACCAGGAAGAGCGACACACGTGAGGCCTGCCCTGGCTGGCCACGCCTGCGGCGCGGTGCGGAGAAGGCCCCTCGCCGTCGAGGGCTCGGAGGTGCAGGGCGTCTCTCCTCTCCGTCGCAGGGCGGCGCAGGGACGGCGGAGGCAGAGCGAGGGCAGCCCCCGCGGAGGCCCGCCGAGGTAACGGACGCCTCCCAGGGGAGATGACCACCTCTTGGGGGTCCAGGGGTTCTGGAGCCTGCCTTAAGTCGCAGGCCTAGAGATTGACACCAACACCAAGATCGGCGGTGTGCTTCCACCGAGGGAAGAAGATCCCGATCTCGGTCATGTAGTGGTAACATTCTGGCTTCCAAGGTGGCCGAACTATTACCACCAACACCGAAATCTAGGATCGTCTTCCCCATGTGGAGGCAATTCCCTGTGCTGGTGTTGGTGCCAATTTCCAGGCCTCCAAGTCCAGGGTTTCTGGAACCTGCCTCAAGGCGGGCATGTCCCTCCAAAGGAGGAATATGCAAAGGTAGCCAAGAAATAGGCATGGGGCGGTTTTTGTTGAATGATTATTTGGCAACTTGGGGGTATTGTTTGACTATGTTTCGTCTCTCCTCCAAAATCTGCGTGTAAGGGGACATGCCCGACCTAAAACCTGCCACTGGATGCGGCCGGCCCGGGCGAGGGATGGATGCACATGTGGCCAGATGGCTTCCTGGCGCTCGGCACTCCCACGGCATGGTACGCAGCGCTTCCGCACGAGTATTTGGGTCGGCCAAGGGGGGGGTGATTACAAGGAGGGTTGGATATCATGGCGTGGGCTATGATATTTCCCCACATTTCATGGCGCCCCTTCTTATCCCATTACAGTCGGGTCGCTGAAGAAGGAACCCTTTTCGTTGGGAAGGGGCTCTGTGTTCCTTGAGTGTTTCACAGCTTGCCTCAGGTTTTCCTTATGTTTTCGATGGGAAATCGAAGTTCAACTTATGGGAAAAAGGGGCCTCGTTCCTTATTTAGGGTTCCTTAGGTCAACGCCCCGACTGTACGTCCCCTTGCCCTCCCCCTGGGCCGCGCACATGCCGCCGCTCATTATTTGCGCCCCCACCCTCGTGGACACCCCCCTCTTGGCCGCCCCCGAGGAGAGTATCCAGCGCAGGATCCTGCGAAGCTGGATTTGGGCTGCGCCAGATTTAGGAACCGCGCGCGGCCCTGAAGTGGTTTTGCTTGTTGGTTGAACCGGGCATGGGAAGGCCCCCAAACAGGATTGCAGCGAAATCTGTTCTAAAGTGGGAGAGCCGGACTCGCGCTGAGCTGTGTCAGTCTAGGGGCGTGGAGAGGCAGAAGAGTGAAGGAGGAGGAAGGCAGCTGGTTTCAGTCGATCGTCCCCTCCCTGCCCATCGCCATGGAAGAGAGTCCTGAGTGAAGCGGGTCCTAGATGCTCTCCCCTCGCAGGGCATTTTTCTCTCCCAATCTCCGAGTTCCGTCCGAAATCCGAAAAAGGGGGGGAGTCCTGGGATGCACCCCATTGGGGCGATTCGGACGCACCCCTGTCCAGGATGAACGCCGCCCACCGTAAATCCCAGGATTGGGCCCACAATTTGTGGTCCATGCCAAAGCCTCACGAAGTCTGGAGTACAGTCGGGGCGTCAGGACAACCTGAGGCAAACTGTCAAACAATCAAGGAACACCGAGCCCACTCCCCAACGAAAAGGGTTCCTTCTTCAGCGCCCCGACTGTATGGGGTCGACATATACCCTGTTATCCCCAGCACCAGCGTTTCCGTCCGAGCTGTGGTTGATGCTGCCGTGGCCCCCGGAGGGTCCCGGGCCCGACACCTGCGATAGCATCCCTGACCCCGTTTTGTCCGTCATGATGGAGAATCGGAGGAGGAGGAGGAGGAGGGGGAGGAGGAGGAGGAGGAGGTGGAGGAGGGGGAGGAGGAGGAGGAGGAGGAGGAGGGAGGAGGAGGAGGAGGAGGAGAGGAGGGAGGAGGAGGAGGAGGAGAAGGAGGAGGAGGAGAGGAGGAGGAGGAGGAGGAGGAGGAGGAGGAGGAGGAGGAGGTCCGGGGAGGAGTGCGAGCATTGCGGCTTACGGGAGGGCGATAGAATCCCTGACCCCGTTTTATCCGTCATGATGTAGAATCTCCGGGGAGGAGTGCGAGCATTGTGGTCAACGGCACCGTAACGGGTACTTACTAACGGGTACTCTGATTTTTTGCCGCCACCAGCTGGAGGGCTGGCCGCTCACCCCTCTCAAGCTGGTGGCACCCCGCGCTCTGGGCGCGCCCTCAGAGAGTGCCCGGAACGAAGTACCACCAGCTCGGGGGGGGGCGGGGTAGCCTTTGGGAACGGAGTCCTGTGGAGTTCTGATGGTAGCAGCATTTTTTGCTCCCATGAGGCATTCACCACCCACCAAACCACCCCAACCCAACCCGAAGGCCCCAATTTGCCCTCCATTCCCAGTGGGAGGAGGCTGGGGAGCATAGACAAAACACGAGTGGAGCCCGTACCCCCCCAACCCGAAATTCGGGTCTTCGGGTTAGGTTTGGGTGGTCTGGTAGGTAGTCAGGCATCTTCTCATTGCCCGCCGCCGTCCCGAGGCGAACGGGACCGCCAACCAGACGGTGGCGGTGGGTGCCGCGGGCGCTGCAGCCGAGGCACGGCGGTGAGGGGGTCAGAGAAGCTGTCCACCTCGGCCGGCCACGTGGCTCCGGGGCCCCTGGAACGAGGTCTGGCATCCTCCCTCCCAGCTCCGACTCCCTCCTCCTCCCTCCTCCTGCTCGCCGAGTCTTCGGACCCCGCCGTCCGCCTCCCATCCCACCGACGTGCACAGGCAGAGGCAGACTGCGCGCTCTGTTTTGGTAGCATTCGCCTCGTCAGGGGGCGCTTCGCCCTCCTGCCCGCGCTCCCCTCCTCCTCCTCCTCCTCCTCCTCCTCCTCCTCATCATCATCCTCCTCATCCTCCTCATCCTCCTCTTCCTCTTCTTCCTCCTCCTCTTCCTCTTCCTCCTCCCTTTCCTTCTCCTCCTCCTCCTCCTCTTTCTCGTCCTCCTCCTCCTCCTCCTCTTTCTCCTCATCCTCCTCCTCAGCGGCCCGCCTGGGCGCTTGGCCTTCTCTAGGAGCAAACGCGGTTGCATAGGGACAAGCGCCCAAGTACGGACGCAACTGTCTGCTATGCTCGGGTCCCAGATCCAAGTTTGGTGGCTGGTGGTACGTGTCGACTGCAGGCAACATGTGTGTCATCATGCGCAAGAGCGCCCCTCGAGTGCACCAGGGAATCGACCCCAGGGCCGGCACCCGTGTATGAATCTCATTGTTTAGGTCGAGTGAGTCGATGATTGCCCATCCGTCGGGAAGTTGAGCAATTTCCTAAAGGTTCGTGCGAGGACGTTTACCGGGGCGGCTTGTTGAATGAGGCGGGTGGTTAGATATTCCTCCTCTTCCTCCTCCTCCTCTCTTCATCCCCCTCCGCCACTCTCTCCTCCTCGCTGCTCTTTTTCCAACCTTTCCCCTCCTCCTCCTCCTCCTCCTCCTCCTCCTCCTCCTCCTCCTCCTCCTGATCATCATTCCATCGTTCCCCTCCTCGGTCCGACTTCTTCCCGCTCCTCTCCATGGGTTTTCGCATCGGATCTCCAGGGTCTAGAAGGTCATCCCCGACTCGGCGCAAATCTCTCCGTTGAGGCTCTGGGATTTGAAGGCCCACCAAGCTTGAAGTATTGGATGGTACCAGAGAAGGTGGAGGACGAAGGGGAGAGAGAAATGGAGAATGAGGAGGAGGAGGAGGAGGAGGAGGACACGTAAGTATAATGAAACAGATGACCTCGAGAGTCAAGGTCCTAGCCGTGAGGCGCACGGCAGGGTCCCAAGTCTGAAGACAAGACAGGTCTGCACATCTACGGGTCAGATTGTTAACAAGTTAAATGGTGTTGCTTCGGCTTCATGATCACTGATTGAGCTGAAGTTTCGGCTTCTGGGTGCCCCGCGTGAGTCGGGATGTTGTGAAACATGTTTCGGGAGGACGTGGCACCTGAAGCGCCAACCATGATCACCAGGGACACTTGCTTTTCAACGTCAGTTTTCGTGCGTTTCTGCCTTTGCTCTGGCGCCGCAAATGTGTGGTGCACTGCAGTTTTGTTATGCTATGCGCATGCTTTATGTTGCTTCAGCTTCTGATTCTGGGCTTCGTGTGCGCGTCGGGGGAGTTCTGGGGAGTTTCAGTAATGGTGTGGCGCCGAAACCGCTCACAGCGATGACCACGAACGCAGCTGTTCTGACACTACTGCCCTTGTATGTGTGTGTGTGTGTGTTGCGCTCCAGTTGTTTCCAGAACGAGTCTGCTGCCCAGTGCGCCAACCGATGAAGCTTCTAGCCGTGCAGCGCACGTCGGGGCGACAGGGTACCAACACCCAAAGACTGTTAGCTGTATGTTCGCGCGTTTGAACATCAAATGTGACCTCTTCGGTTTGGGTTTGGCCCAGCCACTTTGCGCTTAGGCTTCAGCGTGCTAGTATGGAGAGGGTGGGAGGTTTAATGAGGGTGCACTGCCCAAAGCGCAAGCTGCCTTCATCAGACACGCAGGGTCATGCTCGTTGCAGCCGGTGCTGCATTGAGTGTGGTTATGTTGTGTCGCAGCTTTCTGTTGTGCTGCATTAGGTTGCGCAATGTGTGGCGTCTGGAGCTTCTGCGTAGAACTCCGCTTGTGAGTCGGGGACGGGTTGGGAATGGTCAGGGAGTGTGTGAGTCTACTACCTCGGCGTCAACGACTGGCGCGAAGTACTTGTTTTTGAACTTTCAGTTGCTTGAGCACAGAACTTCCTGTTACAAGTATTACGTCTTACATTGCGCATTTGTTCCGCTTCGTGCTCATGACTCCGAGCGTCAGTCGGGAGAGTGTTGACGAGGTTCATGGGTGATGCGGTGCCCAATTCGCCAATTTCCATGACCAGAAGCACAGTCTGGTGTGCGTCGTGGCTGTCGCACTGCAGTTTGTTTGCATGGTACCCTCTGTGTGTACGATTGAGTTGTCTGCTTTGTTTCGATCTTGTGAGTTTGCCGTGTGCCAGTCGGAAGAGCTCAGGCAGATGTAGGTGAGTGCCTTTCGCCACTGCTTCGCGTCCGCATGCCGACAGGGCTAAAATGGCTGAGTCCCCCTCATCCCTAGACGGCTGCAGGGCGGTCTGGTCATGATCCTGCTGCGTTTGAGAGGCGGTGTCTTTGCAGGTGCCTGAGTGCCTGATCGGATCTGGACGTGGGATCTGCGGAGGTGGATCAGAGGAGGAAAAGGTACCCATATTGCTACCGTTCCCTCGTTTTCCCCTCTTTCGGCCTCCTGTGATACCCTCGTCGCCACCGCTGGGTTCGCCCGAAACCTTGGTCAGAAGGCACCCCTGGGAGAGGTCTGGGGAGTAGCGGTATGGGTACCCCGTGGTTTCCCCCGCGGAGGCGCTCCGAGGACCGAGAGGTCGTCGAGCGTGTTAAGGCCCTGTTCGGACCTCCTGGAACCCCTGGATCCGGAGGACGGCGGGGAGGTCCGCGCGGGTGACGCTGCATCTCTGCCAGGCGAGCATACCCCCTTGCCTAGCTGCTCTGATACGCACGGTTTGAAAAGTAGCACTTGCCGTGCTCAAACCGGCCGTGTTCAAAACGTGCATGTGCAGCCTGTGTGTTGAGCTCCGTATCAGTACGCTGCGTGTTGCGTGTTTCGGGGGCGGACAGAACCCCCAACAGTGACACGTCGATTAGTGAATTGTCCGTTTTCGGTTCTCGAGATGGCGCCGCGGCCGTTATTTTCCAGGCTTGCGCCCGCCAGGTTTGGGCCTCAGGTCGTTTTCACTAAACCACGTTTTACTAAAGGGGGTTCTGTCCATCCCCGAGTGTTGCGTATCGGGGCAGCTAAGTACCCCGTGTTGGGGGGGGGACGCGCTGAGGAGGGGCCCTGGATGTTCTGGTCCCAACGGGGTCTTCGTGCACGGCGCTCGCTTGCTGCTCTGCTGCGCTGCAGAGCCAAGGGCTCCCCCGAGGGCGCGAAGTTATTCGCGCTTCGCGGTCCTCGTTCCTCCTCCCCCTCCTCCTCGTCCTCCTTTTCTCCCTTTGGGGGGGCGGCGCGAGGGCGCGAAGTTATTCGCGCTTCGCGCTTCGCGGAGCGCGAAGCGCGAAGTTGGGAGCCCTAGCAGAGCTCTCGCCTCGGCTGCCAGGCCCTCGCCTCGGCCCGTGCCGAGCCCGTGCCGAGCACGGCACCGGCTCGAGACCGCTCGCCACGCGCGCGCGCGGCGCAGTTCAGACGGGCGCAGCCCGTCAGCTCATGACTTGCCGCTGGTACAGCGCTGCGGAAGAGGAGCATTCCAGGCGCTTCGCGCATCCCCATGCGCGCCGTAGGCGGCTCGGGGATCGGTCCCCCTCCGAGCGGGCCTCCGTCGCTGCTGGAGCCCCTGCGGCACCTCTTGCAGCCCTGCGCTGCCCTGCACACTGGTGCTTGGGCCTCACTGGCCACCCGGCTTGGTGGCCCGCACCCTTCAGATTCCCCCTGACTGCGGCTGTTAGCCGCTGCCCCCCCGGCCGCCCCCTTGCCCCCGCCCTCACGCCGTCCTGGCCGCCCCTCCTCCTGTAGGTGTCCCCTCGCAGGAGGCGCACGGGCCCACCCTGTCTCTACTTGCTCTGCGCCTGTTTGCTGCGAGCGCCACCCACACTACGTCCGTGCCCTCGGCGCTCCCCCTGGGGCGCTGAGGCCAGCAGGCCATGGATTCATTGGACCGACTCGCCCGTCTTCCTCTTGTGGCCGTCCCCCCGCAGGTGGTGTACAGGCCCGCCCGCCGGTCTCACTATCTCTGCGGCTGTTAGCTGCGACCCCCCCTCAACAGTATGGCCTGGCCCTCGTCGCTCCCTCCAGGGGCGCTCGCGCCTCGCGGAATTTCGTTGACCGATCGTTCTGGCCCGTCCACCCTCCCGCGGCTGCCCCCCCGCAGGCGGGGCGCGGGCTCTTTGGCTGCACTACGCACGTTGCTTTTATATACAACCGCCCCCACGGTACGTCCGTGGCCTCGGCGCTCCCCCCGGGGCGCTGGGGCCAGCTGGCAATGGACATCCTTGATCGACTGCCCCGTCCTCCTCCCGCGGCTGTCCCCCCGCAGGAGGCGCACGGGCCGCCCTTGACACAACATTTCTGCGGCTGTTAGCTGCGACCCCACCCACAGTGCGGCCCTGATCCTCAGCGCTCCCTTCGGGGCGCGCGTGCCAGGAGATATATCGATCATTTCCGAGCTGTCTGGCCCGTCCATCGTCCTGCGGTTGTCTCCCTGCGGGAGGTGCATGGGCTTGTTACCTTAGCTCCTAAGGCCTGGCTGCGTCCGCATTGTCTATATGGCCTTCGGCGCTATCCTGTGATATTGGCTCAGCGACAGCAAGCACAAGGGCCTCTCCTTGGAAGATGCTCCCGGCGGCACTGCGTTACTCTGACCGCCAGCTGCCGTCCCGCGCGTCGGTTGTTCCGTGGTACGTTGGCTGAGTGGACGACTGATTGCCTGTAGTCAGTGCCCCTTCGTGTGGCTGGCTACGTGGTAGATGTGCAAGACCCGTACTGACGACGGCGTCGGTGTGTCACTGTCGACCTCGTCGGGGCGAAGGTTGTTGGTACTTCGCGGACAAGTTTGCTGAGGTCCCCTCCGCACGTGAGCCCGGCTTTCTTCCGCTTCGCTTTCTTCGGCTCCTGAGCGTGCTGTTGGCTGGCAGCTTCTGTTTTGGGCCGCTGCTTCTGGGTCGGCTTGACTTTAACGACGGCGCGCCGCTCTACCGCCTGCGCTCGCGAGCGGAATAAACATCCCCACCCGCCCATCCAGAAACGATGCCCAGACGAGCATTAGGGATGTGGAGGATCATGCAGTGGAGTAAAGGGCTGGGTAAAACGTCGTGTCACAAGAGGATGGAGGAGAAATCGGAGGAGAAGGAGGAGTGGGGGGAAGGGGGGGAATGAGGAGGGAAGAGGAGGAGGGCTAGGCGAATGTGGAAAATGCTGAGGAGGAAGATGATTAAGAGGAGTAGTAGTAGTAGTAGTAGTAGTAGTAGTAGTAGTAGTAGTAGTAGTAGTAGTAGTAGTAGTAGTAGTGGTAATAGTAGTAGTAGTAGTAGTAGTAGTAGTAGTAGTAGTAGTTGTAGTAGTAGTAGTAGTAGTAGTAGTAGTAGTAGTCGTAGTCGTAGTAGTAGTAGTAGTAGTAGTAGTAGTAGTAGTAGTAGTAGTAGTGGTAGTGGTAGTAGTAGTAGTAGTAGTAGTAGTAGTGTAGTAGTAGTAGTAGTAGTGGTAGTGTAGTGGTAGTAGTAGTAGTAGTAGTAGTAGTAGTAGTAGTAGTAGTAGTAGTAGTAGTAGTAGTAGTAGTAGTTAGTAGTAGTATAGTAGTAGTAGTAGTAGCAGTAGTAGTAGTAGTAGTAGTAGTAGTAGTAGTAGTAGTAGTCGTAGTAGTCGTAGTAGTAGTCGTAGTAGTAGTAGTAGTAGTAGTAGTAGTAGTAGTAGTAGTAGTAGTAGTAGTAGTAGTAGTAGTAGTAGTAGTAGTAGTAGTAGTAGTAGTCGTAGTAGTAGTAGTAGTAGTAGTAGTAGTAGTAGTAGTAGTAAGTAGTCGTAGTCGTAGTCGTAGTAGTAGTAGTAGTAGTAGTAGTAGTAGTAGTAGTAGTAGTAGTAGTAGCAGTACTAGTGGTAGTGGTGGTAGTAGTAGTAGTAGTAGTAGTAGTAGGAGGAGGAGGAGGAGGAGGAGGGCGAGCAGAAAGGCCCGAGGCCTCTTGGAAGGTTCGTGGGGTCTCTTCGGGTGTCTCTTGACAGTTTCCTCTTTGGGTGTATTGGCGGCATTTTGGCGGTCTGGGTGGCCGCTTAAATCGTTTTGGGTGCCCTGGGGGTTTCATGGGGGTCCGTGGAGCGTTTTTTGGGGGACGTCTTGGGGCTTTGTGGGGCCTCCTGGACGCCTCTCGGGGCCCTCTTGGGACATTTTCGGGAGCCCTGGGCGCCAACTTGGGGCCATTTCGGAGGAGCTCGATCAACGAAGAGTGGGCACCATATTAGCGCCGCCCCCACAGGAGGCCAACATGGGCCGAACACGCAAGTCAAGTCGGTGTTTTGTGTCGTATCGCCGATGCCATTTTTGGCGCTCCAGCGACCCGCACATCCCCCCCCACAAAAAAAAACAGGGGTGGGTGGGGTAGGAGGAGGGATATACATCCCCCCCGAAAGGGGAAACAGGGGATTGGACGAGGAAACCATCCAGACCGCCCGCGCCCTGAACGGCTCGTGGGTCTTACGGGGCCGCTTGCTTCGACGACGGCCCCTGCCTCCTCGGACGTCTGGCCCCCTGACCTTGTCCCCTTTTGGCCTCGCCGCCCGCACAAGGTCGGGGGGGGGGGGGGGCACATGGGGTGGTGATGACCACGGGGGGGGGGTGGACATCATGGCGAGGCCGCGCACGTGCCGCCAACCATGATTTGCACCCCCCCCTCTTGAACGCCCCCCTCCTCGCCGCCCGCACGAGGCGATCCGCTCCGCACCCACGGGCAACCAGACGGTGACGACTGCGGCGGCCGCCGCGGCGGAGAATGCGACGAGCGACGGCGAGGGAGGCCCTAGGGTCCGAGGGCGCGAGGGGCGCCCCTTTGCGCACGTGGTCGTCGCACGGCCATCGAGCACTGCCAATCCCAGATCCCTGGGAGAGGTTGATGTGATGCTCCTCCTCCTCCTCTCCTCCTCTCCTCCTCCTCCTCCGCCTCCTCCCCTTCCCCCCTCCCCTTTCTTCTCCTCATCCTCCTCCTCCTCCTCCTCTCCTCCTCCTCCTCCTCCTCCTCCTCCTCCTCCTCCTCCCCCTCCTCCTCCTCCACTCCTCCTCCTCCTCCTCCTCCTCCTCCTCCTCCTCCTCCTCCTCCTCCTCCTCCTCCTCTCTCCTCCTCGGCGGCGCGGGCATGCTACACGTGCGCCTACGCGTGCCCACGTCCAGGCCTGGGGTGATTTTCTGAGGGTCATGCTGAGTACATGTGTTTACCGTGCGTTTTGCATGCGTGAACATCGCCGTCGAAGCAGGGGGGGGCAATCAGGACAGCTTGTGGCATCGCGCGCGAAGCTGCTATGGACGATTGTCTCTTCAGACCCCCAAGAGACAAGATGGGCGCCGTCCGATTTCGTATGTGCTGTGGCCTCTTCCCGTCGTGCTGCCCGGGAGATGGGGTGCGGGAGGGAGCCGGCTCACGGCCCGAAAGCTCCGCAGGGGCCGGCGGATGTGTACAAAGTATACATTTACCAGCCTGGAACCTATCCCTATCCCTATGCTGGGCACCTCCTCATCACGATGCCAATCTTAGGGGCTCCCTTTTTTTTGAGGGCGAATCCCTAAGATTGTCATCGCCTTTGGGCGTGTCAATCTTAGGGATAGGGATACGTTCGAGGCTGGTAATACATGTTCATACCGTCCTCTTGGAGGCGGCTTCGGAGTGTCTCTTGGGGCCTCATGTTGGGCCCGTCGCTGGCCTGCTGGAGCTTTTTGGGGGCCTCTCGGGGGCCTACTGGTGGTATCGGGGCACATCTTTGGGCGCAGAGCTTCAAAATGATGATGTCGATGGTGATGCTGATGATGATGATCATGATGATGATGAGGAGGAGGATAAGGATGATGATGAGGTTGAGGAGGATGAGGATGGTGATGCTGATGATGATGTTGATGATGATGATGACGATGATCCTGAGCATGATACTGATAATGCTTATGATGATGTTGGCGCTACTGCTGATGCAGATTGTGATGATGAGGAGGGTGATGTGGATGGTGAAATGATGGCCATGGTGGTTGCGATGTGTATAGTGCTGGTGCTGCTGCCGTGATGAGGGTATGAGTATGATGATGATGCTGATGCTGATGATTATGATGATGAGGATGATGGTGATCTGTACAATGATGTTGATGATGACGGTGATGACGATGATGATGCTGATTATGTTTATGCTAATGAGTATGGTGGTGATGTTTATGATGATGATCATGCTGATCATACTCATGACGATGATTGTGTCGATGATGGTGATGTTGCCGGTGATGAACATGCTAATGATGATGATGAGGAGGAGGATGAGGATGATGATGATGGTGATGTTGATGATGATGGTGGCGGTGTAGTGATGAGAATGATGATGATGATACTGATGATGATGATGATTGTTATGTTGATGATGGTGAGGATGATGCTGCTGATTATGCTGATGGTTGTGATGACGATGCAGATGATGGTGAGGATGCTGATGACGATGCTGATGCTGATGATGATGGTGCTAGTTCTGGTTGTGGTGATGATAATTGTGAACATGATGATGCTGAGGGTGATGGTGGTGAAGAGCATACTGATGATGGTGATGCTGATGATGATGGTGATGATGCTGATGTTGATGCTGCTGATGATGATGATGATGGTGGTGGTGATGATGATGATGGTGATGATGGTGAGGACGATGTCGACGATGGCGATGGCGTTGGTCACGGTGTTGAGGATGCGGATTCTGATGATAATTGTGGCAGTATCGGTAATGTTGACGATCCTCATCATGATTATGATGACGTTTCTGACTCCTTCACCTCAATTCGGCGTTCGCCTCTCAGGCTGCTTGAGAGTCCCCAGGATTGCCCGAGAGATCTCCAAGAGGAATCCCACAGGCCACCAATACGGCTACGAAAGCCTTCAAGAGCCTCCCAAAATTTTCCAAGTCAGACGGGACAAGAGCGCCCTATGACAACCTGCGAAGCCCCCTCGAGGCCCCAAAGCAGCACCAAGAGGCCTCCAAGATTTTCCAAGAGGCTCCCAAGAGTCCAACAGGATTTCGAACTCTCTCAATCACCAGTGGGAAACTGCAAGTTCCGAAGAACCGGACCGGCCTCTCAGGCCTCGATGGGCCGATCTCTCAGGCCTCTCGATGCTTTCCAGACGGCCCAAGGGGCTCCCGAAACGAAAGGGCCCCGAGAGAACATCAAACAAATTCCAGGAGCCCGCTCCCTCCCCCCCCCAAACGCCTCCAAGAGGCTCCACGAGGCGCGCAATCGGCCGGATGTTTCTGGAGGCCTCTCCCGGAACATCGGGCCGCCGACGACGACGACGACGACGACGATGTTGGTGCCAATTTCGGTGATGATGACAGTGACCACGTGCACGATTAGAGTAGCGGTGGTGAGGATGATGGTGATGGGAGCGTGATTGAAGGTGTTGATCGGGATGAGGATGAGGATGCGCAGGAGAACGAGGAGGACGTGAGCTTGACGTGACAACTTGGCCAGTAGCACTGGGCTAAAGGTGGTCTCCATGATTCTTAGGCTTACGCCACACCGCCGACCCTTTGTTTATGCCAATCTGGGGGTAGTAGAAGCTGCGAAGGGGTGAAAAGGCGAGTGATATTTGTTTGGTGTCTGTTCGCCGCCACCGCCAGAGGGTCTCGGGCAGTTCCGCGGGGGGGTCCGAGCGGACGGCGACACCGCGGGCGGTCGTGGTCTCATTTGGGGCCATCTGAGAGGCATAATGGAGCCAGGTTGGGCTCGGGAATGTCTTCGAGCCGTTTCGGTAGCGGTCGGGAGTTTTTGTTGGGGGACTGCCCAGGAGTCAGGATGGGTCAACTTGGCCATGTGCGAGGCCACGGCGCGTGCAAAGGGTGTGTCGGCATGGGGTATACTTGCATGCGAATGTTCCCACTGGGCCCCACGGTGGACGTATTCTGGAGCCACGACACGATCGACGTGTGTGTGCGCGTGGGGTTGGAAGTTTACGTGACCGCGAGTACTGGGGCTATGGTTGGAGCGCGCCGTGGAGCCACGAAATGTATGAGGGACGTGCCCAATGTTGGCGGGGAACCGCGCGTATATTCGGGTTCTGGGGCCTTTTACTCAAGTTGCCGCGTGCGGGGTGTACCGAAACGGAGGCATGTTCAGTAGATGGAAGCGCCACGGCACCTCGATTGCTGCGGGGTCGGCGGATGCTGGACGTAAGTTGTGGATTCCGAAACTGGGGCTGATCCGAGATTGGGCAGGCTGGGGTATTCGGAGGAGGGGGAGGAGGAGGAGGATGAGGAGGAGGAGGACGAGTGACGCTGCGAGCGTAAGAGCGGGGCGAAGGAGACGGAGAAGGAGAAGCAGGAGGAGGAGGAAGGGGAGGAGGAGGGGGGGGAGGAGGAGGAAGGAGGAGGAGGAGAAGGGGGACACGGAGAAACGGCTCTGGGTTATGGGTTATGGGTGAGAGGCTTCTTGTATGTGTATCGGGATCTCGCGGATCGCTTCTCGGGGGCCTCTGGAAGCGAGTTTTGGAGCCACTTGGGGGCCGTTTCGGAGCCTCTGGGGTGCTTCTTGGGGGTTCCTTGGGGCGTCTGGGCGGCCTCGTGAGGGCCTCTGGGGCACTCTTGGGGCCCCCTGGGGCTCCTGGGGGCAGAAAGCTAGAGTTTCAACATGTTTGGTCGCCCTCTTGGGCCCCTCTTGGTGCCGTCTTGGAGCCCTCTTGGGCCGTCTTGGGGACCTCTTGGGCCGTGTTGGGGCCGTCTTGGGCCGTCTGGAGGCCGTCTTGGGGGCCTCTTGGGCCATCTTGGGGCTGTCTTTGGGGCCTCTTTGGCCGTCTTGGAGCGTCGGGAAGCCGAAAAGGCGGAAAAGCAAAAAACATAGAAAAACACTATGGAAAATCAACAATTTTAGACTCTTGGGGCCCTCTTGGGAGGCTTGTTTGGGACCTCGGGGGCCGTCTTGGAGACCTCTTGGCCCGTCTTGGGGCCATCTTGGGCGTCTTGGAGCGGTCGTTTGGCGTCTCGGGGCCTTCGTGGGCCGTCTTGGAGGCCTCTTGGGGGCTTCTTGGCCCGTCTTGAGGCCCTCTTGGGCCCGGAAAAGCTCCGTGAACCGCTCGTCCCGGCCGTGCTGCGCTCGTCCCGGCCGTGCTGCGCTCGTCCCGGACCCCCCCCCCCTCCAAATCGACCGGACCGGGCTCCCGGGGGAGGGGTTTGGGGAGGGGGAAGCATCTCACACGCCGATGATCCCCAAGGGGTCGGCGGATATTGTTGTTGCTGTTGATGCTGATTATGGCCATTCTGATTATGATGACGATGAGTAAGATCATTGGTGGGAGTATAATGGTGAGGATGACGGTGAGGACGGGTACGACTGTGGCACGCGATTTTGCATGATAACGCTATCCAGGCTCTTCCAGCGGCCCCCTTGCTTGCGCTAGAACCTGAGCGCCTGATCAAGCGCGAAGCGCGCCCGATGGTTCCAGGATGTATACACATTTTCTATATATACATGTATGTATATATGTATACGGATTCCGTGTTTGTTTGTGTGTGTGTCACTCGTTGTCTCCCTCTCTCTCTCTTTCTCTCTCTCTCTCTTGTCTGTTTTGTGTTTCTCTTTCTCTTCATGTACCCCTCTTCCTCTCTCTATATACCCAACTTCGCCCTATGCTCTCGTGCTCTCTGTCTGTACTACATCCACGCTTCAATCTTATATTTTACAGTGGTCGCAAAGTTTCTCTCTTTCTCTCTATCTCTCGCTCTCTCCGATCCCTCTGGTCAACTCTGCTCGTAGCTCTCTGGCCCCGATGTTCTCAACGATTGAAGACCC